CTGCGTAATAGTATAATATATAGGCTTTATAGTAAGAGCCTAAAGTTCGCGGAAAAGTATTAGTTTAATACGGTTATAGCTTTTAGACGGGGTAATAATATTAGGATAAGCTTAGTGGTAATATTAAATCCCTATATATTAAAAGGATCGATACTATAATCTTGATTCTTTATCTTTAGAGTCTTTCTAGAGGAGTTTCGTGAAGATTTTCTTAGCCGATTTAAGTTGTTTAATCGAGAATTAAACCTAGGATAATTAGTTATTATATATACTAAGTAAATACTAGATATATACTAGATATATACTAGGATTATATCGAATATACCGAAGATATAAGTTGTGAAGTAGCTTAGTTAATAGTAGTAACGGTATCTTCCGAATTTTTAAGTGGACTTTTAGAGGTATAAATAATATATAAAATACTATTCTTGTCTATATCAGGATACTCTAGGAGGATAAGGTACTCCTGAATTTCGTAGGCGATTATAGTATCTCTAGAGCTAACGCTTACTTAGGTCCCGTCTGTCTCTATACCTATTTAGCTTCGTTGCGTAAAAGGTATAGAGCCTAGGAGCTGATTTTTTCGTTATTATCCTCACAAGAATTAATATTAGATAACTTATATATATTAGTATAATCTTAGTACACTAAAGTTTTAGAGGCCGATCTTTAACGCTAGTATAAAATATAAGATTTATATATGCTCTTATTTATAAAACGATCACTCATAGATAGAAGATTATAAAGAATTTGATTAATCTCTAATACAGTACTAGTAGTAGATTGCGTAGAGATAAATACGTCAGAATCGGAATCCTCGAATAGCGATAGCGAGAGTAAAGACGCCGACATCTTGTGGAATTCGATGGTTGGTAATAATCTTGAAAAGGGGTAAAACAAGGTGTTTAAAAAATTTTCTGTATTAAAAAATATTATATAATCTATAGGTTTGGGTACGTGTGAGGTCGGGTACCTTATAGGTACCCAAAATTAGTTAGAATTTTTTCAGTCCGTCTGAACTTTTTTTGGGTACGCGTGAGCTGGGTGCCCAAACTATACTAAGAAAAAAACAGGCTACCCATCATCCTTCGACGCGTACATATGATGATTTTGAGGTCCTAAACTTTACTCAACTCCGTGGTACTGGTATCTTAACTCTCCAGCGTCGAAATACAACCTTAACTCCTCCTAGCTTCAGGAGTGTGGGCGAGCCGCCGAGTATGCCTAGGCACTAAACATTATAGGGTCCAGGCGTAAAGGGGCGCACAGACCGCCTAGGAGGCTATGGTTATATATAGGAGGCTGTTCAGGGCTTAATTCATTTATCATCTTTCATTCTATCTTTAAAGAGTTATAAGAATTTCTATTAAGTTCGTCTTATTAATGAATGAAAATGAACTCTGCAAATTCCCAACGTACAGAGCTCACTCGGCTAGATCATATCATCTTGCAGTACAGAGGAAAAACCAACAACACTGAACGACTTCCAATCTATCTCCAGAAGTCAAAATATAAGCAACCCCTAACTTTTGAGGAACTTCAACGCGAGATTAGACGCCTTAGAGAAGAGGCTGCTTTCCACCAAGAGGTGCAGTAAGCTCTTATGCCCCTCTTTAATGACACTAGAGAAGTTTACCGGCTTCTTCGAGATGCTCTTCAGAAGGCTTCTCTATATTGCAACGGAGAGCCTACATTTCTAGCGCTCGCTTACAATGTCCAGGATGCTGGTCTCTTAATCCGACAAAGCCTATAGAAAGCCTCCCAGAGGTTGTCATCTTCTAAGGATTCTCTTCTCTAGGTCTTTGGTATTATACTAGATGATACGTGTGGCAAGGATCATTCAATCTTGTAAATAGAGATAAACATCTACAGGTTCCGACTTAGCAGTGATTCTAGCTTTCCCTAACCCTGTGTCGCTTTATTTAGTCCACCAATAATATTAAGCGCTCTTTAAATCTGAGCTTCACCTTCTATAACGGCTTTATTGAACGATATCGCTTTTCTAACAAGAAATAAGAGTAATTTCCGTAGACGGCGATTATATATACGCAGGTTATTTTCTCGAATCTTCAAAGCATTGACTTCTTTTTGTAGTCGTTCATTCGAGCCTTCATCTCTCGAAGCTCTTGCTCTAGCTTTTGCGGCCCAATATCTTCACTTGCCTCGTCCCCCGCTGTCAGAGGCATCTCAATTAAAGTGGCACTAATATTGCCCTTCTTGACTTTGTCACATAACTCAATATAATAATTGGTAGACATATCACTAAGGTATTTCTCGAGGAGGTGATTATTGTTGTCACGGAAAACCTATCGATATCGATCTTTCTCTAGAGGATGAAGGCGCACCTCTAATAGATGCACGTGGATTCCCAATTTTACTTCTTAGGATTAGCTTATTGTAGTCTGTACTTAGTTAAAGCGACTTACCTAAATGATTTGATAGCTCTTCTCTACACCTTTTTCGTTCAAGAGCACGTTTCTTGTTTGCAGGACTCGACATATATTCCGTCGAAATAGGGTTCACAAAAACGTAGTTAATGCTCACTAACGGAAATACGGTCAGCGTGAACGCTTGAATAACTTATAATAAAATAATTTATATTGCTAAATCGAGATCCTATTAGTTTAAGCTAGATACAGTTAAAGGATAAACATTCGCGTGATAGGAATTTATGAGCGGTTCGCCGCTATTATGATACTACTATAATTAGCCTAGCGTCTCTAGCCTCCGAGGACCCGTGGGCTATAGTAGGCGTTCCGCTCATCTTAGACTTAATGTATTTCTTTTTTTGTTTAAATAGCTATAGGTGTAGATAGTTCAAGAATAGGAAGTTTAATACGTAGAAAAGCGAATTTATAAAAGTAGAAATGCTTATTTATATTAGCTAGGGACTTCATAAGAAGAGCACAGTTGTCGCCTTCTTTTATTCCATATTCCAACGAGTCAATATGTATCTTCCAGTTGCTCTTCTCGTCTAGACAAATTTCATTATTTACATTATTCAACGGTCCTTATCAGGACTGTTTGACGAGATTTTAGTTTAAAGGTGGTTTATGGTGCTTTTGTTGGAACCCCAGTTATCTTGCTGCCTTGAGTCATCGGTCACGTGGAGTTCAGGGACAGCCGGGTGATCAGGTCGAGTGGGAACTAGTTATTTACCGCTAAGTATATTTGTTATGTAATACAGTAACTTGGAAGCCTGGCCCAGGCAAACCTGGCTAAGCACTTTTCGCCTGAGTGTCCGTCTAATCTTGCCACGTAGACCTCTTCTCTCCAAGTACTTGCGACGACACGATATCATCCATCTCTGAAGATTGCGGTCTTGTCTACTACGTCTCTCCTAAGCTGTCTGCCTCACGCGACCAAATAGCCAAATCGATCAGCAACATGGTGTCAGAATTGTGGTAAGCAAAGCTCGTGGACCCTGGGCACTTTCATCTCATCCATTCCTGTCACAATTTGTCCCTCTTCACTTCAACGTCTTGCATTTGATTAATACTGAATCTTCACTTAGCCCTGTCTATGCCGTGAGTTCCCGATTTTCGTGGCTGCTTCGAATGCGACGGCCCGAGCATCAGCCATAGTTCATTTCTCGTCCCCTCGCCATGTCTAAACTTGCTGCCCCGACTCAAGAAGCTAACTTTAAGACTTCCAGCCATTCTTTGGCTCTATGGGCTGCGTTTGCGCAATTGTCTTCACTTGCTTCGGCGCTGCATACGGAACTGCTAAGGCTGGCGTTGGCGTTTGCTCAATGGCCGTTCTGCGGCCCGACTTGATGGTAAAGAGTATGTTACATACGAACCACGAAAGAACTTGCGAAAAGGGTCTTGCCGTTGAAGATGAATAATTTTCATTACTCGAGAATTTGACGCTAATTCCGAGCCTGGTTTAACAGACATAGTTCCAGTTGTGATGGCTGGCATTATCGGGATTTATGGTTTAGTCGTTTCCGTTCTTGTCGCAAATGATTTGAAGCAGGAGCTCGCGCTATATACAGGCTTGATTCAGCTTGGTTCAGGTCTCTCGGTCGGGCTTGCCGGCTTAGCAGCTGGGTAGGTTGGATAATAGATAAATCCCCAGGCATGGCTGATGATCCTTTATCATGGTTCTAGTTTCGCTATTGGCATTGTTGGTGATGCTGGGGTTCGTGGGACAGCTCAGCAGCCAAGACTGTATGTCGGGATGATTCTGATACTTATCTTCGCTGAAGTTCTGGGTAAGGACGAGACGATATCTTCTGAAAAGACGCCTAGTGAGAAGCTAATCCGTTTATAAGGCCTGTACGGTCTAATCGTCGCCCTTCTCATGAACTCGCGCGCGAAACAAGATGTCGAGGAATGCACATGAGAGTTCCTTGCCACAGATATGGCATCGAAAGTAGCGAAGTTCAGCAATTGAATCGCTGCTTAAATGCAGTGGATCTCCTACAGGATTTGGTCTCATCTATATGGATCTGCTCTCGCATCTTCATTTTTTGGTCGAAGACGTTGGCTATCATTATCGTTATAAGCTCTTGGAGGGAGGGCCGGATTTTTTGATGCCGGTACCCACTACGGAATGGAATTTTGCCCGTTTGGTGGCGCATTGTCTGTTGCTTGTCTATCTTTCTTATGTTTTAAATCAGAATATACAGATTGACTTGCTTCAGTATCGCACCCCATTGAGAACAACCAGGCAGAAGCTTATTTCCTACGGACGACTTGACTCAGTGGGAAACCATAGAATAAAACATTTCTTGAACCCTGGTTAATTCCGTTGATTTACATTATTTGGTACAGACCAAAAGTTCACGGGCATATTTGAATTCTGCTGGACGACTTTAAATCGATGATGTGTGGGCTTGCTTTAGTACTTTTCCCAGATCAAGGTGATTCAGACAGTCAAAAATATCCATTCTCTTCTTCATGTAGCTTATCCATTTCACGATCGTTAGTGAACGGTTGGCTTAAGCCAAGAAGCTTGCGTGCACGAGTCACTGAGGTCTGTATCTGTCCTGAACCCTAATTTTGACAATTTTTCGATATCCCAACCAGATATGGAACCTTGATCGTCTGGAACAGGCTTTCCCATCTGTATCGACTTCCCAAACCGGCACTTTCCGGAAGAATAGGAAAATTGCAGGCAATCTGGGTTCGTAGAGCAGAAAGAGCTGCACGCTGCAGCAGAAGAATGGGCAGGGGAGTCTTCTGGTTGAGTAATGTCGGAGTAGTTGTCCCAGAATGCCCAGGTCGACTCATTGCGGAGATGAGAATGGGTATATGCGAGTATGGACGAGTGAAGAAAAGGTTGCTAACAGCGTTAGCGGTGGACACATCCCCGGCAGAGAGAACGACAAATACCTCATTATATGGCCTCGTCCGCTCCCATTCCCACAGCGCCGTCATCTGCTCTGGCGACATTCTGTGAAGCGCAAGCAGTGGAATACACCACCTCTCCCTGTCCACTTTAAGGGTCCCGAGTTCGTCACCAGCAAACGTAGGATAAAGACCTTCCAGTTTCACTCCGGTTTTATCTAGGATTGCATAACCAAGCACGGCATCGCCACAGCAGTCCTTCTTAGCCCAGTCCTGGTATTGAACACTGACGCGAGAGTCAATGCTGGAGTCTCGAATCAAGCGTTTCATTACGCCCGTTGACAGTACAAAACCTGCACCGCCATACGCAAAATATCGACCGTTAGATCCCAGAACCGGTGACCCTATATAATGCATCCTGGATGGGTCGAGCTGATCGAGGATGCGAAACAATGTGTCCCAAAAGTAATAGGTGTCGGCTTCGATGAAGACATACCAATTAGCGTGCGGGCGCATTTCATACGTCTTCTCAACCATAGGCAAAAACTTGAAGCGGTCGAGTCGCCAGCCTTCCTGCGAATAGCCTACCGAACCACCTTGTGAATGTGCCAATTTCTGAGCATGGTAAGCCGCAAAGTCCGGGTTGTTAAAGGCATAGGTTGGTGGGAGGTCTTCGAGTATATCAATGAAGTGATACCGACCAATTTTCTCGTCATGATCGGAAAAAACGATGAGGTTGGTTATGCAGGAAGTAACGGTAGAAAGGTGTGCTCTGCTCTTCTCAGGCTCGCCAGTGCCAGTTTTAAGGACGACTTGGATGCGATCTAACAGATGAGTGGGAAAGTCTGCACAGAAATCAGGGGCCATCGGGTTGCCTTCTCCGGCATTCGCAAGCGGAGGAAAAAAAGGTCGGGTCACCCATGAATAATAGCGCTGCCGTCCTTTGGAATAATATGGGGAGTTTGTCGGAGAGAACACGTCTGATGATAGGGGGTATTGAGATTTGTGGATAAGGTAGCCGAGAGCGAACGCGAACGAAATGAACAAAATTGATATATACATCCCACGCCTTCGGAGCAGCCACGATGACGGAAGAATGAGCATTGCTAGATCTGTAGAGGGACTAGACGGGAATGCGTTGTATGATCAGTTCGATTCTTTCTCCTCGTGACGCCACCACATACCAGATATCATGGGCCGCGCTATTGACTGTGTCAGGGGGTTTGTAAGGATAGAGGTCCGGTTCGTAACTGAGTTAATACATTGGCGAAATGACCGCTTCACTAACGGCAGGATCTGGCATGATATTATGTAATCTCAGAAGTGGGCCCTTGTGTTGAAAGCTTATGGAACATCACTATAGATGGCCAAAGGGAAAAAGGAACTGGCCCCTTAGGCCTTGCTTGGCTAGGCAAAAGAAAAAATTGCCCTTGTGCGAGGCATAGTTTCGTTGGTATTCAAGAATGATATGCAACGCGATACGTCGTCGCATTTTGGAGGGTAGTAGGCAGGCTATATTGGGTAGGCGGTGTTCTCAGCGGTCTCAGGGGTCTGTCGGAGACTTTTGTGATGCTACTGTACAAGTCCTACCCTAACATCAGGTGCTGTATTCAAATAACGATCAGATCTAGTTTAGCTCGCGGCTAGCCGCTTTAAGAGTTAGCTTCACGTGAGAAAAGGTTTGCGTGGCCCGGCCCGCCCCGAGGGTAACGTGAGAAAAAATTTCCGTTCTCCATTTTCCTGTTCCTCGGGGTTCCCGCAGACCCCGAACTCCACGTGACCGATGACTTAAGGCAGCAAGATAACTAGAGTTCCAACAAAAGCACCACAAACCACCTTTAAACTAAAATCTCGTCAAACAGTCCTGATGAGGACTGTTAAATAATGTAAATAATGAAATTTGTCTAGGTGAACGTACCTGAATTTGCTCGGCTAAGAACGGTCAACGGCTAGATATCGCGTTTAGTTTCATTACCCTATAAACTTCTGCTTTAGACTGTCTACTTTAGACTGTCTACTTTAACTTATCAAAAAGGGCGCTATTAGAGGTCAATTCAATCCTGCTGGCGATTGTTTCTCACCCTGGATGAGTCTCCGTCCTACTATCTTGCTTTAAAAAGCTAGTCAAAACCACACGAACTCCTCCAAAACTGGGCCTATATACGGGCTTCGTGGATATCAATCGAGGGCCTAAAGTCCTAACGCTTGAGATTGTAATTAAAAGCGAATCGCCAGACGCTCATCTCTCCTGCATAGAGGCGCAAGATTACACCCTTTAGTTCAGCGGCACGCTTCTTGCTATCAATGGCTGCAATGAACAATAAAAATAGCTAGAGCTGGCCAAGATACTAAGCTAGTGCTGTTTCTAGGGTTGTATCCGAATCCAAAATCTAGACCCCTTATGCAGCTAAGCTAAGCACCGCATTAAGCGCCACATAAGCCTATACGGCAAGGTCAGCCCTTAAATCCGAACCAGTCATTTGTGCGTACGACAAAGACATTCTTGTCGCGAGACGGCGGCCGACGGTTCAGGGTGCACATTATTCCCCACTTGTAGGAACCCCACTTCTGTAGTGGTCCGGGCTTGGCCCTCGGAACGGTCGGATCGGCCGATATTTAAATTGATATTTCCGAAGGTAAAATCGTACCTTTAGGGGGAAAATGGATTTTTTTAGTGGGTGGGGTTTTTTCGTGGGACAATAAGCCGTTGTGGGCCCAGACTTTAGTGAATGTGGTATTTCAAGCACAACAGGCTCTTGTCAACGATCGGGTCTCGGAACCCTACTGTTACTTAGTCCGTCAGGCCCTACATAGGCTCAAGTCTTTAGAGGGATCGAGGAACGTTGTCAGGTAGGAGCGCTGAGTAGGTCTGTACCGAAGTGCTGCCCTACTTGTAGGATGGTTGTATAAGTTAAATAGTGAGTACCCTACGAAAGGTGTCATCTAGTAACGTCGTGAGAATTGATCGCGAAGAATCAAACTAAATACATAGGCGAGTGTCCTGTCCTGGTATTCTAGGTAGATTGTAAATAGTCGGGTATCGGAGCAGGCTGCGACAGTAATGGCTAGTAATCCTAGTCGGCGAAATGGATCAAGGAAAGGACCAAGCGGAACCAATCTTGGATGCAAGGGTTGATCCATTAAAGAAAGAACGAATATTATGGGGCAGGTTGAAATATATACCTAATGGATAGCTGAGGTACCGGGTACCTAATCAATGTACTGTGTACAAAACACAAATAAAAGTGGGTCACTTAGTATAACCCCTGTCCTAGCGGTAAGTTACTGATCTACCCGAATACCGTAGATCGCTTCTACGAACATAGATGGGGTGAAATACCGCTAGACTAGAAAAGCTCTATCGGCGACATTCTTATTTATAGAGCTGTTTCTTGTTCTGATAGCTTCTACCGTTGATGTCGCGTGAGGCCACTAGTGTAAAGTAGGTGCTGGTAAGCAGGTGGCCGAATTGGCGTTAAGGATTTTTTCCGGCACCTGGAGTCGCCAACGTAGTAGATGATCTAAGGGCATTGCTTAGGCTCTTGCTCCAGGAGTAAGGTAATAGCGCAATGGGGGCCTTAGGGTATTGTCAAATGCACGTGACGAGGGACTACTGCATCGTTCCTGAAAGGTTGAAAGGTTGATTGGACGTGTTGCCTATCAACAATCTGCGGCTACATGGTCCGCCACAGAAACAAAGCGAGGATGTTGGAACACAGAACTGGAGCTAACGACGGGAGACCCTCGGAGCCACAGAACCCTATTGTCTAGCCATCTTAGATCTAGCCCCTCCTAACCACTAACCCTTCTATCTTCTTAGAAAGGGACACTTGCGACTACAGTCATGTCCGCCGCTGAAGCTAGGCGTGATAATATGGCATCATCGTATACATCTTCGTACGTCCGGGTTCCCGATATATTCGAGAGCATATAGGAGGTAAGAGCCCGTGGAATTCCCTAGCTTTAATATTTAATACACTACGTTTTGGAGTCACATAAGTCGATCCGGTTAGCCTACGGACTACGCTAGACCGGGGGGGGGCAGCATTAGACAATATCTAGGGTCTCCGCGTCCACGTTAAGACCCTCATGGACGTCGGATCAACGAAGGAAGACAAGGATCTAGCATCCCTCCGATGTTACAGTTACACCTACGAATCGCCATGCATAGGTAGTTCGTGAAAATTGCACTAACCAGTCCTCCTAGCAGCTGAATTCGAGGTCCAAGCAGATCCCAGTCATTAGAATAATATTTGAGATTATTAGGGGAGAGTATTTTGCTCTAGGACAGTCTAACAGCACTCTACTATGTGAGGCGAGAGACAATTCCAATAGGCATCCTTGGAGAAGGGTTCGGGAGCAAGGCATATAGCCTTACTGCCTACCAATCCTAAGGTAATACTCGGCTAGAATTCACAGGTACCTAAAGAAGAAATCGCTACAAGGCGTACAACCAGAGACCGACGCTTCTTACTGCGGGCAAAAACGGTGTACTGGTTCTGGTAGTGATCCTTAGCGCCTACTGTGCGTTGTTCGGGTAGGAAACACCTCGCTTCGAACTTTCGTGCAGGCCTTAGTTTAGCTAGGGTGTGATCCGTGTGATCCTAGCTCAGCTATCGGGCCAAAAGACGATATGCAATCGAGCTCTGTTCAAACAGTGACCTCCTCGGCATCAATCCACAGCACTACGGCGGAGTCTAATAACAGCATTCGCAATTCTCGCTAATGAAAGAGGCGCTGTTTTAGCGAATAGTATCTGCTGAGAAGTACGCAAGGTCTCTTAGGGTCGTTGTTCAAGCGGTTAGCACGGAACAGCTATGTGCGAGGTTGGTTGGATAAGAATCATATAGTAGCGCTCGAACTGCCTGTGTGGATGGAGCCGGCTCGATTTCTTGTTGCATCATTTGTGGCGTGAGACTAGTTAGAGCCGGACCTTGAATGAAGTCCGTGTGATCCGGATAGTTCGCATTTGCTGCTATATCGCTACGTGATGAGATACCATAGCACTTGAGATCGAAGAACAATGCCGCTCGTCCTGCCTATAAAGGCCTGTTCCTCTGGCTGATTGCTATTTTCAAACAACACTTCTTGCCTAGCACGGATACAATCTTATAGCCCCGTCGTCCAACTCACTGAATTCAAAAAATGCTTCTCTCCTTTATCGCAGTTGTGCCTGCTTTGCTGACTGGCATCGCCTATGCTTTGCCAACAACCGAGGTTGGCCTTGACAGCAGCAGCACTAAAGAGGTTGCTCCAGAATTCGCTTATGCGCATCCCAACAACGCAGATGATAGCATTCCGCCATCCCTGCCATCTGAAGTTGTACCGCTCAGTCTGAACCAGATCAAGGAGCTGTCCACTCGATCTCCGGAGATGCATCAAGACCCGTACAATATCACAAACGTTGATGGGTACAGATCACTTTACAAACGCTCTGTCGGCTGCGATCCGATCGGCTGTTTTGATGGCGCGTTCTTTTCGATCATTTTTCATTATAGCGGCGAAAATGGCGTTTACCT